TCCCGCCATATGATCATGCTCATGATAAAATGCATTTCAAAAACTCATATATATTTTTCAAAATTTTCCCACATGCTCATCAACTTTCTTGCTCAACAAACATCAAGAATCATCATATTTCAATCATGCCTCTTGCATCAATTTTTATATTATCATACAAAACTACATTAGCATCATATAAAACTCAACATGCTCATACAATTCATCACTGTGCACAATCCACAACTTATAACCAAGAGTGTATACATAATCATCAACCATCAATTTCATTACTCACACCAAGTCATAATTAACTTGGTCACAAGTCATAGAGTCTCAACAAAGTCACATGTATTACAAACAATTATTTCAAATTTATATATATATATATATATTCTTTTATTTCACTAACATAATTAATTAACATACAAATGCATAAAATAGATTTTCCCCGGTTACCTCAACCTTTGAGAGGTCAAAGGTTACCCCTCAAGTTACAACACTTCCAAAGCTTTTCAAAGCTTGAATGGTGTCAAAAGAAAATTAATCTACAATTGATCATATCCCAATGTGTCAATAGTATTATTAACACAATTTTCACTCATACTCTAAAACCTAAGTATTTATTTTATTTTATTTTATATTTATTATTTATTTATCTTTTTTTAAGAAATTAGTCTTAGTCTCTTAAATTTTAAAATTTAATTTCATGTATTTGAACCTATCAACTTGGTTCAATAGTCTCCTTCACAATAATTTCATTTAAATATTTTTCTAATATTAAAATTTCTCTTTTTATTCCAAAAATTCGCACATAAAAATACCCAAAAAATTACAAACTTGATTTCAAGCCTAGAATCATTATTCTATAGCCATAATAATCTATTTCTTATCTCAAACAATTATCTAAATATCAACAAATCAATTTATATTTTTAGATCTAACCAAAAATCTACCCATAGGGATCTAAAAATAAACTTAAATGCCTCAAATTCCAATTCTATCAACAAAATAATACTCTAGAATATTTATTACACTACTAACAACTTCAAAACCATATTTATTCAACATAAATTCATCCCTCTTCCATATCTTAAATTTTCTACCACTACAAAATTAGAAACCAAAGAGAAAGGATGACTAAGAAAAATTTTTAGAACACTTATCTAGTCTTAGAATACTTAAAATCTCATATGAAGTATCCTAATATGGAGCTTCGCCTTCTAAATCATCTATGTTGCAGGTGTCGCGCTCGCCGTCTCTGTTTTCGCTCTCTGTGTCGCACAAGAAAGAATGAAGAAGAGAGGAGAGAAATGAAAAACACAGGTTGGTTTTAAAATAAAGAGTGAGTCCTACAATTTTTTTTTTAAATTTTCCTCTTTCCTCTCTACTTTTTTTTTATTATTATTATATGTATAGGTAATCATTCCCCGGCGAAAGCTTCTCTTCCTCTTCTTTCTTTTGTTTGTTTGTTTTTTTATACCTTTTTTATTTTCTTTTAATAATAATAATAATAATAATAATTTAATAGTTTTTTTAATTAATTAATTAATTTTAATTTTTTTTAATTTTTTTAAATTTTAATTTAGAATTATATCTTAAGTTAGATTTAATAATCATCTCCTACTAATTTGTTTACCTCTAAATATTTTTTTTAAAATTTCTATTAATCCAAATTAACTATTAAAATTTAAATTGGGATGTTACACAAAACATGGTAAATAAAATTATATCAATAGGTTATAATATACAATTTCAATGCTATTATTTTGACGACAATTTTTATTGCATATAATAACTCTAATATCATGACTAATGTACTTGTAAGGATGGTCTTCATTGTTCTCCCTTGTAATAAGGCTAATGGATCCTGCACAATCAGTTCACACACTAACCTATTTAGATTGTCTGTAACTACAAATTTTCAATTCTTTGATGTTGCTCATTAACTTAGTAGAAAATGATTCATTTCAATATTTTTTTCTATTTGATGAATTAGATGGTCAAAATTCTTCTTCTGTTAGTAGTAAACAAATTAACTACATAGTCAATATTTGTTCAAAATGAAGGCCATATGGCAAAATTTTAGTTTCTTTAATAGAGGAGAGGTCTACATTATGCTCCTCAAGAAAGCTAATGAATTGTTTGAAGTTTGCTTAAAATGTTTTCATTCAATAACAAAACTTTTAAGTGAATCTTCTTCAAAGAATGTGCCAGAAATGGGTGAACTATGGATATACACAGTGCTCAGTACACTCCTCATAGAGTCATGATTGGATAATTGAAAATGCCTTCAAAATGGGTCAGGTATTGCTTGGAACTCCTCCCCGATAAAGACAAGAGAGGCTTTTGAAACAAGGCAATTTAATTTTAAATATGGATAAATTAAATGCTAGGTTGTTTGGAATTGTAAGAAGTGAGAGAAATGAAGAAGGGGGTTGGTAATCAGAATCCTTACCCTATGAACATAGCACTAGAGGGCGAAACCAAATCTGATATATTGAAGATGAGAATGCCAAAGTAGATCTTGGTGATGGCTCAAAGCTAATCTTAAATCGTAACCCTCACCCAATGAATAATGATTTCAGCAATAATTGGTATGAATTTCAATGCTCTTTCAAAGGGAAATATTTGCCAATAAGCTCTTTTAAAGGGATTATTCAGTTTGAGTCCATATGTAAGAAAAAGAAAAAATGGTGAGAACGAAAGATGAAAGCAAAGAAAGATATAGGAATTTAATGAGAATATATAGGGACCAAAAAAGGGAACCATGCTGGCAGTGATGGTGAAGAAAGTAGAGCAAGAAATAGAGAAGAACATAAAGAGCGGGAGAAAAAATGCAGGGGTTAAAACTATACAATAGAACAAATGGAATTTATAGAGAATGATTTCAATAACATTACAATGGAAGAACGATCAAAGAGGGTTAGTTGAGCAGATTCAAGGATAAATGGGAGAGGAGAAACTAGTTAGAATGGGATAAGAACTGAACAAAAAATTCAATAAAGATGTTCCGTCTGACGATGAAGAAAGAGAAGGAAATAAATCATGTAACATAAATTTAAAATTTGAAATACAAAACAAAAGAGGGAGTAGCCATATTTCCTCACATGGGGAAGACATACAGAACACTAATACAACAAAGTAATCAATGAACCATGAAAAAGAATACGACTATTCAATTCACAGGGAAGAAAAAAATATGGGTGGGAATAGATGTTCATGCACAAGGTGAACACGATATGTCATCAGTGTGAAAGCATAAGGGATTATCTCAAGTTTTAAACACGAAATTAATGGAATGTGCCCAAAACAATTAAGAAAATAAGAAAAAAAGGGACAAATGACATTCTAGCCATTGAGGACCAATCAAATGTGTGCTATCAATTTCGTAGAATAGAGTTGATTGATGATTAAAATCATACATGAATTAATGTGATTGGATCTAGCAAAAAAGGGTTAGCCCTTCACCACATGGCAAACTAAGTGTTCACATCTAGTGTTTAATAATATCTTAAGCATATAGTTCAACAGGAGACTATATGTGGGGGAAAAAAAAGCATATATGAAATAATAACAATAATAATAAAAAAAAAGTAAAACTTCCATTTGATTGGATTTATGATCAAGTCTTCTCAAAACTAAAATATCTACGTAGACTCTTCTCTTTTAAAATGGATAACGGAGTTTTTTTTGGGTAAAAATAATGGAGTTGTTTTTTTTTTGGATACAGAATAACAATGGAGTTGCATGATCCAATCCCCAACAGTATCCATCGCTTGATTTCTACCCATATCCCACATCTTAACACATCTCTATTATACTCTGTAGACTACATGCGTGTTTGGATACGGATTTACAAATAATTACCCAAACACCGATGTTATAAAAAACCACTTTTTTTCCTAAAAAATGGATTTTCTTCCCAAGCTCCAAGAGTCAGCTTTTGCGGTGGAATTGTGAAGACATGTGAGAAAATTATAAGAAAAGCTTAAGGAAAAAATTACAAAAAAAGCATAAAATTTAATAAAAATAAAATCAAACTCTATTCTCTTTCATTTTTTTAGTAAAATTCAAACTTTAAATCCTTAAAAAAATTATTAGTATAAGTTTCTATCAACTATCACTCTCCACTTAGCATTTGTTATAAAACTAATTTAAATAAAATATTAATTGATAGAGAAAAATTAATTTAATTTAATGTAAAATTGAGAGTCATTACAAATATTGTTGAAAAAGTCTAGAAAGAGAAATTTTGCATCATTTGTTAAATTATTATATTTTTTTATGTCACTAAAGTTTTTAGACAGTGCTTAATATTTTCATCAGTTATGGCTTATATTCATGATGTCATTAAAAATTAACTTGTATATTATCATCTTCATCAGTTATTGTAAAATTAATATTTGATATTTAAGGATTAAATCTTTCTCTTTTATTACATTTATTTTAACTAAGATATATTGAGTTACTTATTTACGTAAATTTAAATGTTAATATTAATATAATTTAAATTTTTCAATCAATTAAATATATAATTTAAATAATATATTTTACTTTTTGAATAAAATATAACAACTTTAATAATATTAGATACAAATTTATTAATTATTTAATTTTTAAAAGTAATGTTTTTTATGGTAATTTATACAGCTAAAATTAATTTTAAATAAATTATCTAAACATTTTTAATTTTATTAAAATTAATTTTTAAAAATAATATTTAAATAAATTATGTTATAATATAATCAATTATGATTAAACTTTATTATTTAATTAATTATTTTTATAATCTATTATATCATTATCTTCCAGCTTCTGGGTCCATCAGAATTCTGAATTCCTTAAAAGGAAAAAAAAAAAAAAGCAAACGGGGTGGGGAGGATCAGATGGGCCACTTGGGCCGGGGCAATCTTCAGCTCCCCTTCCCTTCAACATATACACAGAGTGCTCGGCCCAAAACAAAACCAATTCACATTAAAGGGACCATAGCCAGTTCCGGTATTCGCTCCTGGCAAAGATGTTGATTCGAAGAACGTTGTCAATGGCAATTTCTCTGGCAACAGTAATCCCGTTCTCTTCGCGAGCTACAAAACTTGTTCGCGTTCACAGGTACATTAGTTTTCCTCACTCATCTTCCCTTTGCCCACGAAGCCTTGTTTTACTCTCCTGCTCTGGCTTCTCTTCCTCCATTTCTGCTAGAGAAACCGACCAGGTTCTTGAAGAGTCGGCGAAAAATGTAACTATACTTGTCCCTTGTTTAGTACACTAGTTTTTCTATCCTCCTTAACTTTCATTTCTAGGGTCAATATCTTCTTTGGTTAAAACTAATTTCCACAAGCACGAATAATATTAAGTTGCGCTTTGGCAGGGTAATCTGAAACCTGGTCTTTATCTGGTAGGAACACCAATTGGAAATCTTGAAGATATTACCTTTAGGTACTCGTGAGATTAGTTTGATTTTACGCCATTGCCACTGAATGGAGACTCGTTAATGTAGTTTTTATTTTGGCATTGTCGTTGGCGCGACCGTTCTCTTTTCGTTCGCACCATGAACCAAAAAAATACCGCGAGCTTGCAGAAAATATGGCCAAACAATTTGAAGAGAAGTGAATTTTGGTATCCTTCTACGTGTCGGTGACTTTTTCTTTGCTGTCTGGATCGCCAATGCAGGGCTCTCCGCGTATTAAAGTCAGCAGATGTGATACTTTCAGAAGATACTAGGCATTCTGGAAAGCTGCTTCACTACTACAATATCAAAAAACCCCTTGTATGGGTCATATAAACTTGTTATTGTTATTGGTGTTTATCAATTTATTTTAATTCTGTTCTCTTTATTTTCAGATGAGTTATCACAAATTCAATGAATCACAAAGGGAACAGGTAGTGTTGAAGAGGTTGAGGCAGGGTGAGATTGTTGCACTAATAAGTGATGCCGGCACGCCAGGGATTAGTGATCCTGGTATGGAATTGGTGAGTATGCTGATTCTATGCTGACTTAGGCGTGTTTATCTGTACTTGGCCATTTCTGTATGTCTACTTCTGTGTGTAGTGGATGGAGATTGTTCATCAAGAGGTTTCTGAATTAAATAATGCAGGCCAAATTATGTGTTAATGAAAATATCCTTGTTGTCCCAATCCCCGGGCCCTGTGCTTTGGTATCAGCTCTCTCCGCCTCAGGATTAGCTGCTGATGAATTTACTTTTGGTAATTTCTGGCAGCCTCTGTTGGTCAGTAGATGCATTCATAAATTTTGGCATCAATGGCGCTCTTGGCACTAAACATGACATGTTTTTCTACAGTTGGTTTTCTTCCAAAGCATTCTGGATCTAGAAGAAAGAGACTTATGGTTTCAGCAGATGAAGCAACTACACAAATATTTTATGTTCCTCCTCACAAGCTTTCCCAATTTCTTGAAGAAAGTGCTTCATCTTTTGGCGATACAAGGTATTAAAAATATGCTTAATTATAAAATTTTTGTTGTCTTGTAGTCTGTTCACCATAAATGATTTATCGCATTATTTTTTTGATTGTCAGGGGAGTGTTTTTATGCAAAAGTTTAGCATTGAATTCAAACACTTGTTTGGATTCATCTCATGTATTGACGGGTGACGGAGAGGAAAAAGGAAGTTGCATTCGCAATATATACCTTAGCTGGTTCATTAAGGTTTAATGGTTAATGCATTAAGAGATTAGACGTTTTAGCATGTTTGTGTTCGGAGGTAGAGGTTGTTACTCTTTGTGCTAATTTTTTATGCTCAATGCCTGTGTAAGTAATTATGGAGGAGCAGTAGAAAGACATGTAATAGTGAGAAATAGCAAGTTATGGTTGGTTTTGGCTCAGCGAATTACATTTCTTTTGTTATGTAGCAGGCCATATGTTATTGCTTTGGAAATTTTGTTACATTTTGCTTTGTTTTATCTTCTCTTAGGTAGGAGCATTTCTTTTGGTCATTTTAGAGTAGTAGAAAGACATGGTATAATTAAACAGTACTGAGTTATGGTTTAGTTTTGACTAGTCCATTGACGGTATTGTAGGCAATGTGTTATTGCTCGGGAGATGACCAAGTTACATGAAGAGGTATGTTTATCATTTATATCTGTAGCATTTATTCTCTAAAAGACTTATTCAGTAATCCAAATTCATGGTGACATGACTTTGAATTGATTGTCTTACTTATAATGGCTATTTTGAGCAGTTGATTCTGCAATCATTTTGTATTTTAATCATTGTAACATGTGCAAAGACTATTGGTTCCTCGTTATCTTTAACTCTTCAGATGATCCACAACACTGCAATAGTCAATTAGAAGGATTATAAGCTATGGTTCTCATTTTGACCTTATCCACTTTATGCACGATGGATTGATGGTGTCTTATTATATATATATATATATATATATATATATTTTGTATTATCTAAGAGATAAAAAAGGCTATGGATGTGTTGTTGTTTGTCTCTTCTTTTTCTCCTCTTGATGAGGAATCTTAATTATGCACCCCATGAGCATGCCATATGGTTTTTCTGAATTTTCTTAAAAGAGTGTTCATTTGATTTGCTTTATATATTGTTTGCACACGATCCTTTTTTGGCTGATATACAAGATAATGATTTTGTAGTTTTGGCGTGGTGCTCTTGGTGAAGCCAAGAAAGCATTTTCATTGCATCAACCAAAGGGAGAACTTACCATATTGATTGAAGGGCGCACAAAGTCTAAAGTTGAACCACCATCAGAGATTCAGCTTGAGAATGAAATGAGAGATTTAATTTCACAAGGCGAGAGTCTTTCCATGGTAACAGTTTGCTTTTTATCTAGGCAATGCAATTTTTGGATCTACCCTTTTAGCTGCTAAAGCTGGGTATAGTCAAATTGAATTTATATGGAAGTTTTTATCCAAATCTAATTATGGATATGGTTGTCCATACTGAACAAATCAAACTGAGGAATATGACAGTCAAATCTGTGGTTCAGGGATGCCTTATATTATTAGTTGTTAGAAGTTCTTATGTCTTAAAAGATGATGGGAAAGAGAGAAAATTAGTGTCCGTATAATAGGCAAAAATACTAAAGAGCTTCCTGATTTATTTTGTTTACTTGATATTTCCCCTGCCCACATCTGCAAAGCACTAACATTATGAAATCCAGAGCTAAATCTATCAATTTAATCAACCATTAAAAGTTTAAAGTATTGCATGGACAAAAAATGTTTAAAGTATTGATATTATTTCTACTGAATTTAAACTATAATCATGTTAGAGCCCAAGAGTAAACTAATTCACACACTCGTGTTACCAAGTAGCCACTCTTTATCTCAATGAAATTGTAATCTGTGTGCCGATGTGTATTTAGGCCGTCAAGTTGGTAGCTGATGGAACGTCAGCGAGTAGAAAAACTGTATATTCTCTTGCATTAAAAAAATTTGGGAAGCAATTGGAAGTGGAAGATGGCTCAAAGTAAAGCAGAGTACTCATGTAAGTTAAAAATTATGGTTTCATTAATGTCATTGTGTTGAATTCATTCATTTTCTTAAGCCTAATGACTATTATAGTTCCTAATGAACAGAAAAGTGGGATTACTTTAATGTCTAGAGAAATGGTTTCCTGTTGGGGCACTATTGCGGATTATAGGAAGAATACTGGTTGCTGCATTTGTTGTCGAAGAATATTGTTGCATTGGCTCATCAAAGTTCTAATCATTCTCTCTCGCCAATAGAATAACAAAATGTCTGCAAATCTACAGTCTGGGTAGCGGCGGATTGGGCTGTTGGAGCATTCTAGAGGAGAAAATGCTCTTCTTGTATGTCATCTCCATTGTCGATTGGAAAAAAAAAAAAAGTACTAAAAAAGATCGTCATTATATTTTGTACCTGATCTTCCCTGGCCTTTCGTCATTGGATAGGGGCTTTGGATTTTGCTGAGGCTTATTGTGAACATGGATCTGGCAGTTGTATTAGCGAGCCTTTTTCATCTGTTGCCTGTAAATATACTGACTCATTTTGTTGAATCTTTCTTATGTTCCAGTTTTAGGTCAAGCCATGAGGAGTGGAAGATCATATAATATGCTTCTCAGCTCCCCAATACCGGGGAAGGCTTGGTAATTTGATAACCATCTTGACTTGGCTTTTAGTTTCTGTAGCGTGTCGGATACAGCAAATTAAATGTAGGTTTTTGATGGTGGCGATATCATTATTTTTGCATTCTAGTTCATTTTAGTTTTAGGTTGCTGAAGAGCTACTCTTACCAATTAATCTAAAATATCTTGAACCATGTACATAGATTTGCTATGGAGACGAAACAGGACTGGTCGGTGAAAAAGTTAAAAACTTGAAATCCAAGAGACAGGATTGCAGAAAGGGACTAGCGTTAATATTGACTAGCATTAAGTGCCCCTTATACTAGCTCATGCGGAATCCTATGTACAAGGAGTATGAAATAGGAAAGAAGAGGGAAAAACTTAGAAAGGAAAGGGTACAGGTAGTGAAAAATTGTGAAAGGAACTGGAAGCAAGAGCACGAGGAGCTGCATTGTAGGGACACAGGGAGAGCGAATCAGAAGGGGCGGTCGGGATCACGGACACTGCAAAACGACATGTCATATGCACAAAATGCAAGCTAGCTGCATCCACCTTCTGCCCAGATAGCAACTCCTCAACAACGGCACTACTTTCTAATCACGCTCATATCCTTGTACTGAATCTTGCCTTTTAACTTTTCTGCACAAAGTTGGAGATGCTAGTGGAAGGCTCAAAAATACGCTGGCCTGTGGCCAAGATGAAGCCAGGATCGAATTGCATCTTCCTTTGATAAAATTGGTCCCATTTGTCCCCAAAGTGGTCCTTCCACTCGTGTCGCTTTGTGTAATGTGGAAGGTACTGTTTCACATTGATGCCCTTATCATCGCAGAATCTCAGAATTTCACGGTTCTCTTTGTTTAGGTACTCCACCGTCTCGCTACCCACAGCTGATCTCAGAAATGCCACCAGATAAAACACCTCCTCCTCTGGCGTCACCACTGAGCTCCGCTGGTCCCACCTACACCCGAAAAAAACCCAAACCAATATTATCCATTTCTCTTTTCTTATAATACAAAACTAAAAATGTAAGTGCACGAGTAAGCTTACCATTCTCATTCCCAGTTCCTGCAAATTAATGGTTTTCAGAAGCAAGCTCTAGTCAAAATTGCGCCTAGTAAAGTTTAGGTTTATCCGGAAAAACGTGTTGCTAAATTAATTAATTATTTTTATTCGTTTTTGTTAATAAACTAACGAATATGATAGGGCAGGTAGCATTTCTGGTGAGAAAGGGCTGTATTGGGGGTGGAAGAAGACTTGGAAAACTAGACATCTGCATCGGTGGATCCCCGATGAAGATCTTCTGACAGGAGGATCTTCCCAATTGGATGATCACGACCGTCCATTTTTGTTTGCTTCGGCTCATCAGAGACATTTTTTCCCCTCAAAAAGAAAAAGGGTATTCTCAATGCAGCTGTGTTCGGTGGGTCCACGTATGCATGTGGGCCACGCCTCTTTTCCATGAATAATTCAGTTGTCTTGGTCTGCCCATAGCATCACTCTGCTTCTGGGCCTTTAGCCCATAGCGCCCTCTTTTCCTCGTACAAAATTGTCACTTCAATATATACTTCACACGAACATCCTTTCATTTCACAACCCTCTTACAAAAATTAACAAGTCATAAATAACATTAATGCCTCTATATTGTCAAATTTAGTTAGGATGGACTCCATCTATAGAACAAAATTTAAAGAATATAAGATAAGATGCCCATTATTTATTTATGATTATAATTATATATTTTAAATGTATAAATTGTATAGATGGTATATGGTTAAGAATAATAGTATATATGAGCGTGCATATATGCAATAGTAAGCATGCATGCAGTGGTTGTATGTTGTGCGCGCGTGTCACTCACTCTCTCGCTATCAGCATATAGAGTATATACAGAAATAAATAAAGGCCCTGCAAGCGTGATAAGGAGTTAGTTAGCAATTAAATACGATTTCATGGATCTGGAAGCTTACTTGTGGGAGTTCATGGGGTAGATGAGGATGGGGCCGCTTGTGGTATTTCCAAGAATGCCCCTGAACACGCCCTTGTCGAAGTCAGCTATCCTTGACTTGGGAACGAAAAGGTTGAGCCATGGATGAGGGACCTCCCACAAACCCTTAGACCTCAGCTTTAACTCTGCCTTGTGTACGCGGTCCAGAAAATCCACATATGTTACGTCTGTTGTGAACACTGATGTTTCTATAAAATCTAACTTTTCCAACAGACCGTCTATTTCCTGCGCAATACAGATAAGCCCCCACGTCTCCTTCTTGTGAATCCAATATACAATTATTATTATTATTTAAAAGTACGTCGGCACGTTCAGAAAAAGCTACAATTTTAAAAGAAATTAAACCTAGCTCTTAGGAAGCTCCTGCTTTTTCTCAGGATGCTGTGAGCTTCATTTCATTACTTTAACTACTCATCACAATTGAATCCAGAGATATGCCAGACTAGGCGCATGAGTCAGTGTCGTTTTCTTCTGTATAGTTTATATTACGTAGCTTCTGTAGCATATATAATTTGTCCGAGTGCAAGTATCGAGTAAAAACCGTGAAATAAGAAGGTTCAATTTCCATTACCCATAAAAAAGTCAATATATCACATATACCAACTAATTAGTTGATTATAAGAAATTAAATATTTGAACTCACTCTTTCAAAGCAAAAGGACTTAATTAAATATGATTACTGGGATGAACGATATAGAAGTGCCGTATTTTTCTGTAGGGACAGGAACATCACAGAATAAAAGAGATAAGATGGAGACAAGTTAGCTAATCGGTATGTAATTTAATATTGAACTTCATTTTACCTTTACAACTTAATTTTACCTAATTCTCTCTTTCTTGTTTGTTTGTTCCATTTTCTTTTCTTCCTCCTATTTGGAACCAATTATGCATGCCCAAAGTCTCAAAGGCGGACAAAGAAGCCCCACTAATTAGAGGTCCTAGTTACGGTTTTTTAATACATAACCACGAGAAAATGATACAAACAAGTTAGTCAAGTACAGCTTGCAAATGTCCTATTTCGCAAGGCAAGCACATAGGTAGATTCTAGCTAGCTCTAGCTACCCAACAAAGTGTATTTGCAGTATTGCAGACTTTGTCTAGAAAGCATAGTAACGCACCTACGTACTCGCCACAAGCCAATTGCCAAAGCACGCGTGCGTCTAGTAATATACATCAGGCACGCGAATTTAAGCAAACAAGAATAGAAAGCTGAATTTTTCTAATAATAGAAGGCACACGCAAACTAATTAGCTATATATATATATATATATATTACTTTTACCTGATCAACAGTATGTGCATTGCCTTCATCGTAACCTTTGGTAATCTCCAAGCAGTACAAAACACCCCCATCAGCATTCAGAGAACTGAGAGTGACTGGGTTGCTCGGTGAAAAGAAGGAAGATCTCCAATTGTTAATAAGCCCTTCGTCCACTATCACAAATCCCTCAACGTAGTCAAATCTCTCACTGGCTGGTTTCCCATGCAGAGAGATCAGAAACTCTTGGTCTTTCGTGAACACTGAAAAATCCGAGTACAGCACCCTTATCCAACGCACCTGTGTCGACGATGCAGTAGCATAATAACGTTTGGTAAATCTCCACGGCAATGTAAAGCCTACATATCAGTTCGTTAAAAGAATTCGAGAGAGACAGGCAAATTGCGACAAGTCAACACAACAAGCTTGTTAACTATGAACAGTACAGGTGTACGACAATACTGGGCCTAGCTACTTTACAAAAAGTGTACACAGAGAGAGAGAGAGAGAGAGAGAGAGAGAGAGAGAGAGAGAGACCCAATGAGGGGCAGGTTCAAGAGCAATTCTGGCCCTAGTGATGATTCCGAACTGCCCAAGACCGCCAAGAACGGCATGGAACAACTCCGTGTTAACATCCTCGGAGCATGTCAACAACTCGCCCTTTCCTGTCACGAAACCAGATTGTTAGGAATGGGAAGTCTTCCCGGAAATATGAGGAGAAGACAAATAGAAGAGTAATAAAAGGTAGAGTTAGAGGTGAAAATGCTTAGAGAGGGGTATGGAAGAACCTGTAACAACGTCGAGCTGGTGCACGTTGGCTATTTGAGGGCCTTGATGGAAGGTCTGGCCGCTGATGCCGGCGTTGGAGAGGGTTCCCCCCACAGTCAAATACAAGTAATCGGTCCAGGACTTTGGGGCGAGCCCATACTCCAACGTCTCCATGAGTACTTTAATCCAAAGCTCTCCGCCCCACACGTCCACATACTTCTCCTTCTCCCAAACCCTCACACTCGACTTCGATCTCATATCTATGACCACCCCCTTCCCCGCCTGAGCCTGGCCGTTCGTGGAGTGACCCTCCCCTCTCGCCGACACCCTCAACCCCTTCCCCAGCTCGTACGCCTCTCGAACCACAGTGGCCACGTCCTCCGCCGAAGCAGGGTGCAATACCGCCAGCGGCTCCGCTCTCTTCATCATCCCGAAATCCACCGAAGCTCTTTTCACCTCCCATTCATCCACCGTCACATCACCCTTTATTCCCAGGCATCCCAGCTCCACGGGCATCGCTGTCAGTCCAACTGTTACTGTTAAACCACATATGCTCAATGCCAATACAAGCTTGGCAGCACTTCCCATTTGGTTTTTCATGCTCAATTTTCTAAAACTGAGAAAGGTTAATCGTGACCGAGTGTTCTTTCAGGATCTTAGTTAGAGGCCAGGAAGGTGTATGGATTAGGGTGGTAATGGTGGTGAAGGATATATAAGAATAGAGCCCCACCGGCGATGATCACGGGAACACCGGGAAGCGCAGAGAACAAAATCTTGGAGCAGCGTTGTGGGGAGTTGTGAACTAACGTAAGCTCGGATTGCCCTTTACATCACTTTTAATACACAACACTCCACCAAGATTCTCTTCTTTCTGCTGCTTTCTTTGTTTCTTTGTTTTTTTTTTTTTGGGGGGGGGGTGTTGTGATGGGTTTATGGAATTATGAAGTATTGCACAATAGACAGTGTACGTAAGGGGTAAGGCTTTCTTTACTCGGGTTCAGGTACCTAGTATATCGCAGGAACAAAAATAAAGCAGGGATTTGATCTTTAAATTCAGAGGCTATGATCATGAGGAGGAGAATTCTCATGTCATCGCTCTACTGTGTTTTTTGCTCAGGATACAAGGAAGGAGGTGGTTCTAAATTTATAGGACGCAAGCAGCTCGAGTACGAGCTGATGAGTTCTGGAGTGTGGAGAGGCGAGGCTCTTAAAAGGCACGTGGATGTTCACGTGACACGATGGAGGAGACACGTGCCCGAATGTGGAGCAGTAGTACAGTTGTTGGCTCTTTAGATTACTTTTCGATAAAGATGTCACCATCCCAGAGTTCAAGTAAAAAATTTGTTACCGAATCATATTAAAAATTGCATAGAGTGTGTGTGTGTGTGTGTGTGTGTTTCGAGTTATAGTAAGGGGGGGGGGGGAACAAGAACGAAAAGGTTCAAGAATAAAGCGAACTCCATCTCCTTTATATGGTTGAATTCCTCATTGCATGTCACCTTTTCCCTTTAAAAAATTCAAGATGTTGTAGGGTTCAAATACAGTAATAGTTAAAAATTAACTATCGACTAAAACAATGGTAACATGAATCTTGATGAAGAGTAATAAAGTAGAGGAAAGAGAGTAGAAGTAGAATGAATTGGGAAGGAGGGTAATTAAGAGAATGAAGAACATGGGGAAAGGGAGAGAGAGGGATTAAACTGAAGAAGAGCTAGGTGTTGTTGGGGGTGGGTCCAGGCATAGATACGGAGGATCAGAGTGGGGACGGCAGCTAGGGAAGGTTCACATGGGTGCCCAGCCTGCTGAGACGACGGTCATCCACCACCGTTTTATGTTTTCCTTTGCAACTTATAATCTTATATAGCTCATGGTTTCCTGCCAGTTATATTAATAAACGCGCTGTTCTCAGTTCAACTAATTGCATTGATAAATGGTTGAATCAATATCATAACCGATTGAGTAAAATATTTTATTTAGTATCGTTCGGATCACTGTTTATTAATTACAATCTTGACTATTAATATTTAAATCAGTTCATTGATCGGTTCAATAATTGTTAACTCTTTTTCCGGTATATAGATTTCTCATTTAAATTCTTTTTCTATCTTCTTCTGTTGTTCCGCACGCAATTTCATACCGTCATTATCACTGAATAATATTGTGTTCCCCCAATTTCCAGAAAAGGGGAAAAAAAGAATAAGACTCATACACTTGGATTATGATGCACCGTTTTGCTCGCGTTGATTAATACTATTCACGACTGGATTTACTGTAATCACTTCCTAATGCCTAACACACACGGCCGTGCCCATCATATTTGTGGCACGCCACAAACAAAAGTTAACAGTGGATAGCTCTTCTAAACACATTTGTGTAATTCCATTGTGTATTATATATGCATACTTTTAATTCAAGCTGGTTTAATTTGTTGCTGATTAATCTGGACTCATGATGTTCCCGATTAATTTCCTCTATATATTCCTCCAAGTCCAGTTTATTATGCAATAATTTTCTTAATCAAGTTTAAACTGTATTAATTTTTAACTAATTAAAATTATATGAAGTAACTGTGAAAACCGTATTACTTAAAATCATATTTTCTTTTCCTTTTCTTTTTTCTATGCACCGATCAATATTTATATTATGAATGTGTTCTTACTTAAAATTTGTTTTTTTTAAATGATTACTTTGAACGAACATTCATGTATATCATCATGACGCATGATAGTAGTAAATTTCAGAATTTACATGCTTATATATCATCGTGTGAATGTATTATTTCGGTCGTCGGTGATGAGATTTACCATTGCCCAAAAATGCCTCGTTGTCTATTAGGTACTTTATATTTATAACATATTAAAAAAAAACAGAGAGAGAGAATTTTACTGAAGACTATTGAACTAAAGATAGTAAAAAAGATAATTCCTAAATTTTTAAAATTTCATTACAAGTTCAAGAAATTGTGTTGAAATTCAAATTCATTGAGAAATGATAAAATTATCTCCATTAAAAGAAAAAAGAAATTTAACAAAAAAAAACAAACTATAAATACTTAAGGTTATAAATAAGTGAATTAAGATAATGAATATTAGTTTCAAGTGTAATGAACAACATACAGTATGAATATAAACAAGTCATGCCAGCACCAAAGCAACACTTGGAATTAATTTAAGTAAAAATGTTGTAATGAATAATTGAAGTAGGGCAATAAATAATAGTCTAAAAGATAATGAACCGCATACAATAGAGAGACACAAACAAACAATTCTAACATGAAAGCAAAGCTTGAAATCAATTTAAGTGCGAGTATTGTAATTAACAAATGAAATAAGATAATAAATAATAATTTGAAGAGTAACAAATTATATACAGCAAGGACACAAATAAGTCATACTAACATGAAAACAACAATAAAAATTAATTCAAGAGAAAGTGTTAAAATGAATAAATAAAGTAAGATAACAAAATAATAAACAATATATAATAAGAACGCGGACAAATTGTATTGAAAAATTTTAATAAGGATAATTTTATCATCTCTTTGATAATTTTAATTTTAATTCAATACTTTAAACTTTCAGTGGCGTTTTAAACATTTAAGAATTCTTTTTTTATTATTTCTGATTCTGGGGTTTCAAGTGAGATTAAAAAAAAAAAAAACAGCAGCTGCAGCTATTAACCAGTTGCACGTTAAAAGAGGAATATGGTTTTATTCATTCATGAATGGACTCGGACTCCGTCTCTTTCTAGAAAATAGTACAAAATAGCTAGCTAGCTTAGATACCCGCCCTTTTCTTTCCCTTCTGTCCGATTAATGCACGCAAGATACGTAATTAAGTATTGGTCCATATCAAATATATATATTCAACCAGCAAATCTCCTAATGTTGTACACATTAACTTTATTTCTGCATCTGTTCCTATCATAGTGTTTTCATGGTAAACAGTTTCTGAGAAAGCTACTACTCATCATTCATATTTATTCTAGCTACCACATAGGGTTCATTATATTGTGGACGATATTGGGTTCATTTGTTATCAACCACACTATATTTATCTCTCATTATCTCTCTTCACACTGTACTGTGCAAAATATAAGTAAAAAGGGGAAAAAAAAACTTTGGGTTTTCTTCGGTCAAAAATAAAGGGTCAAATACTAAATTCTATACGTCTTGAAATCTGATCACTTGAAGATCTTGTGACCTTTTAGCATTGGAAGGAGCTCATCGTATATTATTCTGCCCTTTTTTCTAAAAAAGATAAATATATCAAACAGTACTTTTTTTTCCTTTTTCATTTTTGGATATCAATTATTAAGTTCGTGGCAATAGCATCTTGCATGAAATGATATATGAAAATGCAATGATGAAGATAATTTCTAATTAAGGATACAGAGAGTACATATACATAGGTATAGCTAGCGTCTGTGAAGGCAAAGCGTATTTCTTTTCAATTTTTGGGAGGTGATGGAGTATTTACACCGAAATGAGCAAACGATGACGAGACGAATCAACTACGCATGAAGATAGGGTTAGGCGGGAGGGTTTATTATTTGATGATAAATCGTTTAATTTTCTCCTTCTAGCTAAAACTTATCTTTTCTGCGTTTTTGAGAAGATGGCCTTTTTGGAGTTAGAAGCCATTTTTTAGTGACTAAGCTTTTCTCTCTCATTGCAAAACGACAAGGAAAAAGGTACGTTCTTTAGTAACGGAGCCACTCAAATCAAAAGCAGCTAGCTAGCAAGCAAGTGAAACAAACGTAGCAAGGCTCCAAAGTACAAGAGAAAATCAGCTTTCTTTTTCTTCAGTTGAAACCAGTTATATATTCCTCACTATCAGATTCTCCAACACTTATCTAATTTCTACTTTTTCTCTAATGAGCTTATTAGGCCTTAAGAGTTAAGACTAAAACATATTATGTTACGTATACAAGCCTGCCTTTTTCTATTATTGTCCCCCAGCTAGTGACTGGTGACTCAAGATCGATATATATTCCGGCCGCGTAGGCTTTAGTAAGAAAAAACAGATTATATAGTGCAGCCGAATATATAGAAACTGCTTTCCTTTTGCGATTTTCATTAAATTTACAGCTCAGTTTCCAACTTCCAAGTGTCATTGTTGTCATTGATCCATAATAACTTAAGACCTGTGACTTTGATCATACTTAAAAGTTCGTTAATGAATGGTACAAAAGATATTGAAAGTGATCGAGGGAAAAATGAAATGTTGCTTATATAGAAAGTGCTGGCTTGGGTATCCACTGTCACCCTGTGATCTAAACATCAGTTAATATTGTCTTTATTATATAGATTATAAAGTGATGGATCGGTGGGTTACCGTGTTTGATCAAGCATGGCAGCTTGGGCCACGTCAGGTACCGAAACAAACAAGCTGAAAAGGGTTAAATCACATAGCTGTTTATGAAATGAATCGCTGAACTCATCTGATTTTCATAGCGAGGGTTACGTACGTCACGTGCTCGCAAAAATGCGAGCTAGGAGTCAATATGACGAATTTGATCGCACTTGAGAAACAGACAAGGTTTGTTGTCTTGTGCTTGCCATTGACAATACGAGTGTGTGTGTGTGTGAGAACTGCATTATCATGGCTGGTCTGGTGTCATGAATATTATGTGTGATTTGAATGATGGAGACACAGTACTTCTTCAGCTGCTGATAAACTCTGCTTGGTCATGGACTAATTAAAGTGATTTGCATGAGTGATTATAGTTAACTATGCCTGAATCCATTGTCATTTCTGGTATTTACCATATAATTATGATTGACTAAATTAATTAGGTCTACACTTTGTAGAGGAGTTTAGCTTGCTGTCTTTCAACATTATTGATTGCTTGATTATGTGAAGTACAGTGAGGTTGATGTGATTTATTGAGTTGCAAAACTTTAGTGGGCAAGCTGCCTAATTTTGGAGAGAACATGGTAAGAGTTGTATGAGACGAGTCTTTGTCTTAAAAGGGAAAAAGAACAATGATGGGAGGTGGTAGTGCTCAACTGCAATTTACGCACTCAATTCATTAAGATATGCAAATATGGTTGCGTGTGGTTGGAAATAATGACCCTAATATTAGTTGATGAGCCTATGTGCTGCCAAATGCTCCTTACCCATTTGGTCT